ATTTGTATATGGGGTAAAAGGGGGAGTTCATAATCCACGTGAATCAAACTGTGTAATATGATGTATTAAGAACTATGTAATGTTATGAACGACCAATAAAAAAAAAAAAAAAAACTTAGTTTTTAATCAGCTTAATTTGCAGCTTCTCTATAGCAGCATGATATTTCTCAGGAGATGACTAGCTCAGGCCAATTTTTTAAAAATTGATTTACTCACTTAATTTTAAAATTATCAGTGATTTTTTAATATAATAAACAATAAAAAGTACTATATGGATCCTTAGATATGTAATTCTTAAAATACAGATCTAGATGATAAAGATTTGGAGCTATTTCAGAAAACAATCTTAAAAAAACCCCTTAATGCAGATTGACTACTTACTAAGCTAAAAAGACAAAAATATAACATTGGGTCTGATATGGAAAGGTCATCAAGATAAATTGTGAGATGAAAGAAAGCGCAGAGTAGTGCATATTGTATACCATCTTTTATTTTTTTTAAAAAAGGAAAACTAAAATGTATGTTCATATTTGCTTTTGTGTGCCCAAGGTACCTTTGGAAGTATACAACAGGAAACCATTAAAAGCAAATGAGTAGGAGACTGAACTCTTTACCTTGCTGAGTTTTTTTTTTTTTTCCCCCTTCCTTTTGTGGCTTTAAAAATTTTTTGAATATATTAAAATGAATGTTAAATTTGTTTTAAAAAATAAATTTAAATAATAAAAATTTTAAAAAGAAAATTTAATATAAAACAGTTTGCAAGTTTAGTACATTTTTTGTTATTTTCCTAGGAAAATCTCTAGAGATAAAGTCCTTGGATTTTTTGCAAAGGTTTGTGAACTGAAAGGTATAAGAAATATGTTTAAATACTACCTCCTTCTTTCTCTTCCTGCCCCTAAATGGCAGAGGCCTTATTTTATTGTAACCTTTTTTTTCTTTTTCTCCCCTCCCCTCCTTTTTTTTTTTTTTTTTTTTAAAGGCTGGTGGGGTAGCAGGTGCCTCTGTTGACTTGATATTATTTCCTCTGGATACCATTAAAACCAGGCTGCAGAGTCCCCAAGGATTTTATAAGGCCGGTGGTTTTCGCGGAATATATGCTGGTGTTCCTTCTGCTGCTATTGGATCCTTTCCTAATGGTAAAYATGACATTGATATTCTCACTGCTATAAAGCCAAGATAATAGGATTTATTTCCAGAATGGTATGAGGGGATACATAGTTCCTTCTGTGTTGTAACTAATCTTCTGATTTTATTTTCCATTGTTTAACCCACAATTTTTGAATAGGTAGCACTGGGGATTCCCTTATATTATCTTTGTAATAGAAAAACAATTTCCCAGCGACTCAGGAAGCTGAGGTAGGAGAATCACAAGTTTGAGGCCCATGTGGGCAACTTAGCAAGGCCTTGACTTAAAGTGAAAAAGTGTGGAGATGTAGCTCAGTGGTAGAGCACCTCTGAATTTAGTCCCCGGTTCAGAGAGAGAAACAGGAACAACCTTGCTTGCATATTGGAATCTCCTGGGCTTTAAACAATACTGATGCCTGTGTTTCACCCTCAGAAATAGGTTCTGGGTCTTGTCTGACAATCAGCAGTTTTTTTTTTAGCTTCCCAGGTGATTCTAGTATGGAGCCAAGTTGGATAACTTGGACTCATCTGATCACTGAAGAGTTTAAAATACTTGGAGATTCTTGTGTAGCAGGTGAGCTCAATCTTTTAGTCTTTTAATTGTAGTTAGATTATGCAGGTGTTTTTTTACAGGCTTCCGCCTGATATTCTGATTTCAGCATCTTTTTTTTTTTTTTTTGTACTGGGGATTGAACTCAGGGGCACTGTGCTACATCTCCAGCCCTATTGTGTATTTTATTTGGAGTCAGGGTTTCACTGAGTTGCATAGCGCCTCGATTTTGCTGAGGCTGGCTTTGAACTTGCGATTCTCGTGTCTCAACCTCCTGAGCTGCTGGGATTACAGATGTGCAGGTGTGAGCCACTGCTCCCCACTTTCAGCATCTTTGTTTTGGTTTTGAAGTCATGTGACTTTTGGCCCTCTTATTCTGCAACAGTATAATCTGTTTTATGGAATCTACTTCTTGGTACATGTCTTGCTGATACTTTTCTCATTTCAGTTGTTTATTTTGCAGTGCTAAGGATTGAACCCAAGCCTCATGCATGCTGAGCAGGTACTCTGCCACTGAGCCACATCCCTAGCTGGTGATGAATGCTTCTTGTGGCACTGAAAATAAACTAAATCAATAATAACAAAAAGGCACACAATACACATCCACAAAATCACAGTCCTAGGAGATTCTTAAATTCTGGGTTTTGATTTATTTTTTCAGGATAATTCATGAGAAATTTTTCTTCTTAGGTTAATCTGACCTTTAAGTGCCAGATCTGTGAGCATATCATTCACATAAAGATTGTACCACAAATAATAGTATCTCTGTCCTTTTGTTTATTACTTCCCCTTCTCCTCGCCCAGCAGCCTGTTGAACAGCAAGCTGTTTTGGGTTTATCTTGACTTTTTGTATGCCTTAATACTTTGAGTAATTGGTTATAACAAGTTATTATTGAGCACCTATTCCATGTCAAGCATGGCTCTAAGGGTGTGAGGGGCATGGATATGAACCAAGTTTGTCCACATTGGACTCACCTGATCACTGAAGAGTTTAAATACTGATTCCTGTGGCTCACCTCAGAGGTTATGATTTAATCCATCTGAGGTATGTCCTGGTCATTGGTGGTTTTAAAAAATTCCAAGGCGATTCTAATATGCAGACAAATTTAAAAACCTTTGAGCTAGGGAATTGTACAGGAATATGTCACTAAGTCCCTATCTTTTGGTCACAGGTTTATTTGGTTTTCTCCTTCACCTATACTCATTGTTCTTTAGATCTTTGTCTCTTACATATGACACAAAAGCATTCCTGTGGGTTAGGTGTAGTATTAGTTGTAGTCTTAGAGTATATGATGCTGTCTCAATGATCACAGGATTATTTTACATTCTTTACTGAGGATTTACATACAGAATGTGGTTTTGAACTTGTGTGTGGGGGTGTGTGTGCAGAATGGGGGCAGTGGTATCTTTTTTGTCTTTCTTGCTTTTTTTGCCATCTACACAACTTCAGCAGATGGAGGGTGCAAGAGAAGTCAAAGTTTTTTTTTATTCTTTTGCTGTCTTCCTACAGATTTTGAATGAATTGCATTTTCCTTTCTGCTTTCTTTTGTCTTTAACTGTTGGTTAAGGTTCTAGTCTAGGAACAGAATGCCACTATAATCATCAGAGCTGAGGGGTTGGCATGGAGGGGACAGAAGATTGAAAGACCCATATTGAAGGCCCACATTTAGGAGCCTTATTCCCTTTATTTTTATTAATTTTTTTAGGTGTAGATGGACACAATAGCTTTATTTATTTTTATGTGGTGCTGAGGATGGAACCCAGTGCCTCACACTTGTGAGGCAAGTGCTCCACCACTGACCTACAGCCTCAGCCACCTTATTCCCTTTTTAATAGCACGTGTAAGGAAAGTATGGCATTTTTTTTTTTTTTTTTTTTTTTGCTGGGGGCCGGGGATGGGCTAGAAGAGACTCTTATCAGATAGCCCGTGTCTCCTTTTTTGAGGACTTGCTCTGATCTTCATTTGGAATTTTATTGTGCCATCATTTTTCATTAATGGAATCTTTTTTGGATGCTGTGCACTTGGGGACAGGGGTTGGAGGTTACAGACCTAAAAGACATGAAGTATCACACAAGTAGTCACAAAATTGGGCAAGCTTGAGGCAACTGACCATGAAACTTAGGAAGTTTTAGTACTTTCTTCCTTTGCCTTGGAGTGGGTATAGAGATGCTAGTAGCTGCAGAACCTACAGCTGAATGCCATCAAGGATAATATTGTAGTGGGCCAAAGTGTGACAAGCTGTATGAAGAACCACACGGGAACAGGCCTGTGTTAACTGGGCCAGGTCACTGAATTGGTAGTGACTTCTGTGGACTACGGGCCTGCATATTTGTTGGCAGCCTCAGATCACTGAGTTTTACTATCAGGCAGTTTTTCTGAGTGTTTCAGACTTGACTGTGATAAATTCTAATGTCCTTCAAAAGATGAATTTGTTATTCTTTTTTCTTTCATTCTTTATCTTTTATGGACATGATAAACACTTTTTGATTAACAGTACAAGTTTTAAAGCCCTCATGTACAGCTATAATTAGTTCATGGTGATAGAGATAGCTCTTCTGAGATACTGATTTCCAGTTCTAATTAAGCATTTGATTGTTTCCTTGTTGTAGGGGTAAATTGATGTAGGAGGGTGCAGTGGCGCACACCTGTAATCCCAGCAACTTGGAAGACTGAGGCAAGAGGAATTGCAAAATCAAAATAAAAAATAAAAAGCCTGGGGATTAACTGGGCACAGTGGTGCACACCTTTAATCCCAGCAACTTGGGAGGCTGAGGCAGGAGAATTGAAAGTTCATAGCCAGCCTTAGCAGCTTAGCGAGGCCCTAAGCAATTTTGTGAGACTGTGTTTCAAAATAAAAAATGGGGCTGGGGATGTGGCTTAGTGGAGAACACACTATTCAATCCTTAGTGCTACCAAAAAAAAAAAAAAAAAAAAAAAAAGGTAAATTGACATTAAAAAGTAGCTATGGCTATTTTGGGTAACCAGCAATAATAAAGCATATAGAATACACATTGTATTTTAAGTAAAGGCATATGTTTACATTTTTGACTTATTTATAAACCAGTGAGATGTTTGTTTTATGACCAAGTGTAAGATCTTCTGGAACACAGAAACTCCTAACCCTCACCTTGTCTAAAAAGTTGACTAGAACAGTGTTAAGTAACTTGTCATTCAGCCTGGCAAATGCTAGGTTAGCTGATAAGCTCTGTCGGTATGGGGATCACGTTGTCTGCATTTTTCTAATTTGGGATTGGGCATGTAATATGGGCTCAGTAAATTCTGAAAGAGTGATGGAAAAAAGTTACGTTTATCTGTTGTCTCATAATGTAATAATTATTGTCATACCTTTCGGAAAAAACTATTTCTTTACGGTGGGAATGTGTATTTAAGCTTTGTAAAAAGACTGGCTTGTTTAAATTTCAGCTGCTGCATTTTTCCTCACCTATGAATATGTGAAATGGTGTTTGTACACTGATTCATCTTCGTATTTGATGCCTGTGAAGCACATGTTGGCTGCCTCTGCTGGAGAAGTGGTGAGTTGCAAGTTAATATGTGATAGACTTCAGAAATATAAATCATGCATACTTTTTTTTGGTACAAATTTCTTTTTTTAAAATTTATTTTCAAATGATACATAAAAATGCAAAAGTTGTGCCTGTTTAGGGGATACCATGTAACATTTCAATATATGTATATGCTGTCTAATGTTTAAATACTTCTTGACATTTTTAATTTTTTTTATGGTGGTATTTATTTCTCTTAAATAATTTTTTTTTTTTAATTATGAAAGGAAGAGCTGGGGTTGTGGCTCAGTGGTAGAGCACTTGCCTGGCATGCGTGAGGCACTGGGTTCGATCCTCAGCACCACATAAAAATAAAAATGAAGGTATTGTGTCCACCTACAACTAAAAATTATAAATATTTTTAAAAAATAAAATAAAATTATGAAAGGCATAAGTCACAATAAATGTAGGTGAATCATACATGTCAGTTAAAAGGTAGTCTTGGGGATGAAAGAAAAATTCAGCTGTTCTAAAACGAGAGAGAGTTCTAAAACAATGACACACAAAACATTAAATGAAAGAAATGGAAGAACCCTTTCACCTGTAGGTTGTGTTGGTTTTGTATTATGTCAGCATAACTGAGTTGGAACTGTTTTTCCCAAAATTCCTAGTTATGGGTCAGGTCAGCCACAGAGGAATTTGCAGAAGGTTCGTAAGGGAAGTTAAGCAGCAGCTGCATTTATGCTCAGAAGGTGGGCTTAGTGTTGGGCACTGTTGCAGCATCTCTCTGTCCCTGATCTCTGCTGTCTTGGCCTCTGGCTAACAGTTCTCCAGTTCCCATCTTTCCCTGCAGCTTCTCCAGATTGTGGGTCAAGTGTCTGAGCCCTGCAGGGCAGGATGCTAGCTTAAATTTAGTTTATCTCATAGGTTAGTGAGAAATAGATGGGAATTACGATTTGTTTTTTTTTTTTTTCCTCACTTTACTAAATTTAGGGAATACTGATGAAATAGAGTTGTGTTATGTTAATACTGGGCAAAAAGAATTTAAGGCACCAGAGAGTCTAGAACATAATGACTCAAGGAACAATTCTGGGAAATGTAACAAGCCTGAACTATATGAATAACATAGTCCAGAACATATGAAGCAAAACCAGACAAGATGATAAGAAAAATAAACAGCAGTATAGTCTTACTTGGAGATGTGACTATCTCTGAAAGCATTCAGACTAGGCAGATGTAAACTTACTCAGGATGTAGAAGATGTGAACAACACAATGAATTGGTCTAATGGATTTATATAGGACTTCACCTCAACAGTTAAGAAATACATATTTCAAGCATACTTGGAAGGTTAACAAAAATGGACACCCCATTCCACAGGTGAGCTTCAACAAGTACAATAGAGACAACGTTGTACATATGGTTTGACAACCGACTATAATGAAAACGAATGCCAGGTTGTCATTACCATGAGTTTAGAAAACAAACCCTTTTGTAAATAATTCATGAGCTAAAGAAAAACTCATAATGTGAATGGAAAAGTGTCTCATACCCAAAGCGTACACAGTTATGGTTTAAAATAGACAAACCAGGCCTGGGTGGTGGCTCAGTGGTAGAGTGCTTGCCTAGCATGTGTGGGGCACTGAGTTCGATTCTCAGCACTGCATGTTAATAAACAAAGTCCACTGACAACTAAAAAATAAAAAATAAAAAAAATAAAATAGACAAACCAAATCTAATTCAGAGGAGCACTAATAAAACCCAAACTATCTTCACTCTTCTCATTAATATACCTTTCTCTCTGTCCTTTCTCCCCAATATAAGGGAGAATTTCTCCCTATTTTCTACTAACATGATTTTTGTTAGCTAGAAATTRTCTATTCTCTACTAGTGTTATTTTTCCCCCTTATTTCCTCCTTTTTTTTTTTTTTTTTAATTGATTTTGGTCATACCAGTAGAAGTGCTCTACCACTGAGTTACGTCCCCAGACTGTCGCTACCCCTTGCCAGCAAGGGAAACACGACACAGGATTCTTCTTTCAGCAGTTTACTCAGGACCTTTGAATCATGATGAGAAAACAGGAACAAGAGAGGAAAGAGCGCGAGCGGTTGGTCTGCCCTAGCTTAAGTACCCAGCCTCGCCAATGAACTAGCACCACGTGGAGGAGTCTAGTAGGTACAGCGCAGCGGAAGCAAGCCAGAGCCYAGCCCCACAGCCTTACAAGGAGTTGTTTACTTCTAATAACTCCAACCGCTAAGTCATCAGAAGCAGGAAGCCAGCGCCATTTTCAGGGTGCGGTCGCCGGCTCCCAACACCAGACCTTTAAAATTTTTTAAAAATTTTGGGACAGGCTGTCACTAAATTACTCAGGCTAGCCTCAAATTTACAATTCTCCTCCCTCAGCCTCCAAGTAGTTGGAATTATAGGCCTGGGTCACCACTTCTGGCCTGCAGCATTGTGATAGGCAGAGTGTGAACAGGCATGGACCACACAGTAAAGGAAAGGGTCCTTAATTGAACACCACCTTTTTTCCTCATAATGGTGTATGTTTACATTAGAAAACTTGGAAAATGAATCAGCAAATAATATGTAACATTTACATAAAAACAATATATATGTATAAAACAATTGCAATATATTATGGTTTTGTTTTCTATGCACTTTTTCTGCCTTAGCAAATTTGACTGAGAATCTAATTTGTTTTGTAATCTGCTGTTCTTTGCTTACAAATATGGTAAATTAGGGGTAAGAAAAAGGGAGATCTTAACAGAAAAATAAAATAAATACTAACTTTAGTTTTAGTTTTAGCCAGGTGCAGTGGTGCATGTCTGTAATCCTAGCCCCTGGGGAGGCTGAGGCAGGAGGATCAAGGCCAGCCTCAGCAACTTCGTGAGGCCCTAAGCAACTCAGTGAACCTTGTCTCTAAATAAAATGCAAAATAGGGCTGGGGATGTGGCTCTGAGTTCAATCCTTGGTGCCAAAAAAAAAAAAAAAGATAATTTCAAAAACAGCTTTATCAAGATATAATTTATACATCACACAATTCATTCATTTAAAGTACACAATTTAGTGGTTTTTCGTATGTTCGTAGGGATGTGCCATCATCATGAGAGTCAATTTTCAAATATTTTTATCACCCCCAAAAGAAAACCAGTGTCTAGTATTAGTCATTCTGTGTTGTACTCCAGGYCCTGCCCTCCAGACGGCCACTGGGCTACTTTTTGTCTGCATGGCTTGGTCTGTTTTAGACATTTCATATAAATACARTCCTGTAACTTGTCTTTTGAGATTTTTTTTTCCTATTAAAGTAGTTTTCCAGATTCATCCATGTTGTAGCATATATCAGCACTTCATTTCCTTTTTTGCCAGATATTTCATTGCATGGATTTTTAAATCTTACTTATCCGCTCATCAGTTGATGAACATTTGGGTTATTTGCAATTTGGGGCCATTATGAATAATGTAGTTATCAGTGTTCATGTACAACTTTTTGTGTGGACATATGTTTTTATTTGTCTTGGTATATAATTAGAATTATGGCCAGATGGTAACTTTAACCTTTTCGGGAGTTGACCAGACTGTTTTGTAAAGTGACCTCCGTTTTATATTTTATATTCTCATCAGCAACAGTGAGGTTTCCATTGTTATCTGTCTTTAATTATAGCTATCTAGTAACTATTCATTAGTATCTTATTGTGATTTTTATTTGCATTTTCGTAATGGCTAACAATTTTTTTTTTT